AGAGTAAAAAAAACATACACAGACAAAACCAAATTAAACCCTGTGGCTCGTGACGATAGATTGAGGTCTTAAGACATGAAACGATCGGTCTGTGCAAGAAACTGAACAGTATTTATATCATGTTTTTACCTCTGATCCACCACAATGTCTGAGCGCGTTCAAAACATCCGGCGCGTGACGCGTGTACGTGCTCTGGCACAGTAGACATAGATATATATATATAAGTAGATGCCTCATTAGTGACTGTTTCTATGGGCCGCCATATGTTCCAAAAAGGCAGACACGTCAACATATCTGGAGCGGTCGAATATGGATCTATACATATCTATGATAGTAGACGCATGTGCGGAAGCAATCTGTCACGCGTATATGTCATGTCACTCATTATTTACACAGTGCAGAGAAATTTCGGACGTGTTCACTGGCACTGCGATGATCTAAAGATATTTAGAAGTACGGGTCATCACAATGGGAGACGATTTTGATATATCATGAGACAATGTGGAATTTTTTGCTCAAACGTATTTATTTGGCATCACGCGCCGGATGTTGAGAACGCACTCAGGACAGTTCGGACATTGCGGTGGATCAGAGGTAAAAAATTATATAAATACTGTTCAGTTTCTTGCACAGATCGATCGTTTCGTGTCTTAAGACCTCAATGTATGGTCACGAGCCGCAGGGTTTAATTTGGTTTTGTCTGTGTATGTTTTTTTTACTCTCAAAGCAGTGGAGCCCATTGACTGCCATTATAAGACTGATAGACTGCAACGGTTTGAGTTAAAAACCTTAGTTTGTGTTCTACTGAAGAAACAAAGTCACCTACATCTTGGATGCCCTGGGGGTAAGCAGATAAACATCACATTTTCATTTTTGGGTGAACTATCCCTTTAAATATGTGCACTGTTTACATAGTCAAATCAAATTCAGCAAGTCTTGCCTATAGACAACTGATAGTTGAATCATATGTGTGTGTGTGTTTATTTCATTTCACACACTGCACACAGAAACAACACATGACATGCGGTAAAAGGTATCTTTTCCATGTTAATCAGAGTTTTTGTCCTAACCAGCCACGACGGCGACATGCAAAGTTTCTATTTTAGAAACCGTTTCTATTTCTGTGACGTAGCGGCTGGAACAACACACAAACTATGACAATTATAATCTCAGGTTCAGATTATGTGCTTTATTCAGTGTTAAAAGTGCCTAATGTGAGTTTGAATATCATATTGCGTGAAATTTATAGCCATACTGAAAGCAGCAACAGATAGTTTACCTCAGATCTTGAATAAGATGGATAACTTTTGGTTAAAACTACGAGCTCAGTGTGAACCAACAAGTGTTTTCCATGACAATGGGAAGCGGCTGTAATTCTGCTGTTCCATAAGCACCACCTAGTGTCAGAGAGTGGATTTACAGAGAGTTACATTTACGTTCAGCATCTGTACAGATTTTCTCTGGCCAAAAAAGGACCGAATTTGCATGCCCTGCCGGTTGGTGAAAAACGTGCTTGTATTCTGCACATTTAAACAATTCAGATAAGGTATCTAGAATGATTTATGGAGCAGATCAAATACATATAATAATTTATTAATCAGTTATCATTTTGAATTAACTTTTTTTTTTCATGATGAAATGGTTCAAATGTGAGGTTTACCATTTTATAAAACTTTTTCAAAGCTTTATTTGAACATTTCGTACATGTTATTAGACAAGCTGTTGTCATCAATCATATTGAATAAGTCAAAAACAGTGGGAATGTGGTCTATGAAAAGCTGGTTTTGTGCAGATGCCATCTGATGAAAATTCCTGTATATTGCATTATATATAACAGAACAACTAAATAGGCTATTTTTCCCCCTCAGTATCATTCAGTCCTAAAGTGGACTAAAAAACAAACAAACAAAAAAATAAAACATGAAGTTTAATAAAATGTAGGAAATGGCCAGTGATTGCAAGATGTTTGCAAGTGTTATTAGTGGTCTGATCACTTCATCTAAGCAGTGTTGTTGTGTTTATGCAGTGAGAAGTGCCGAGTTCCAGCATGGTGTGACCGCATCCTGTGGAGGGGAAAGAACATTAAACAGCTTCATTACCAGAGTCACATGACTCTGAAGACCAGTGACCACAAACCTGTCAGCTCTCTGCTAGAGATCGGGGTGAGAACAGCAGCTGTGATCATGCATCCTTCAGCCAGTCCTTATTCTCTGTCCTCTTACTGACATCTGCTGTTACTCTGCACAGATCAAGGTCGTGAACGAGGAGTCATATAAACGGACGTTCGAAGAGATTGTGAGGCACATTGACAGAATGGAGAATGATTGTATTCCTTCAGTGTCTCTGTCTCAAAGAGAGGTTAGCACTCTTCCATAATTCAGCCATTGACTTTTACATTTTACACTTATATTCAAAAGTTTGGGGTCAGTAAATTTAGGTTAAAACTTACTTTAATACTTTCTTCAGCAAGGATGCATTTAATTGTTCAAAAGTGGTAATAAAGACATTTTATAATGTTACAAAAGATTTCTATTTCAAATAAATGTGGTTCTTTTGAACTTTCTATAAATCAAAGAATCCTGGAAAAAAAATCGATGACAGTTTCACAATGTCGTGCATATTCATTATCATGATATATCGCATTACCTAATACCGGCACATGTTTAATTAGAATAATTTCTGAAGGATCATATGACAGTGAAGACTGAAATAATGATGCTGAACATTCAGCTTTGATCACAGGAATAATTTACACAAATTATAATGTTTTAAAATAGAAAACGGTTATTTTAAATGTTAATGATATTTAACATTAATACTGTTTTTACTGTATTTTTGATCAAATAAATGCTGCCTTGGTAAGCATAAGACACTTCAAAAACATAAAAAAATGTGCTGATCCCAGACTTGTGAATAGTATTGTGAATATGTAATGCTCATTTAAATGGAAAATGAATGCCTTATATTTCCTTTTGGTTTCTTTCTGTAGTTCCTCTTCCATGATGTGAAGTTCATGCAGCATCAGGCAAAGACTGTGACCGTTTATAATGATGGACAGGTGCCGTGTCAGTTTGAGTTCATTCCAAAGCTGGACGAGCCCACCTACTGCAAGCCCTGGCTAACGGCAAACCCTGCTAAAGGCTTCTTGGCTCAAGGTCAGAGGGATTCACTGCTACACTTACATTCGCCACAGTGTTGGTGTTTATTCGATGTAGATGGAGTGACATCTAGTTAATAGTTCTAAAACAACCAGCTGTTAGTGTTTTATTGAGATTGACTGGCTGTTACATGCCCTCTTGTTAAAGCAACTCACAGCTAGCAGTATTTGCTGCAGTGACATGTCGTCAGTTGTATCACGTAACTCTGTGTCCTAACCAGGTGTGGCACAAGAAGTTGCAATAATTTTCAGTCTTCACTGACAGCAAAATGCTGCTTGAAGCAACCAAGCCACAGTCATTCAGAACATAATTGATGTGTATTATACAGCTACGTGAAGCAGTTCTTTGTCATCAATACACAAAATGTGTACAAACTACACTGTGCTGTCAGTGTTCACAATTAAACCTTGAAGAGATAGTTCATCCATAAATGAACATTCTGTCATCATTTACTCACCCCATTTTTTACTGTACAACCAAACAATTGACGTTAGCCATTGACTTCTATTGTATTTATTCATACTATCTAAGTCAAAGTCTGTTTGTGCTCAACAGAAGAAAGAAGCTCATTAAGGTTTAGAACAACTTGAGGGTGAGTAAATGATGACAGAATTAATTTGCAATTATTTGACAGCAGTCACAAAAATTTACTTTTCCATTAAGCTGTGATATTTGCCCTGGTAAATTAATTCCGAGGGGCAATTTCTTTTAACCTTATTAGATGTATGCATCATCTTTTATATCAAACTCTTACATTCAGTCAATAATTAATTCAATGAGAGTAATAAGACACTATAAGGCTGTTTCCAGTCAAATGAAATCAGTATCAACAAAATCTTTGTGCTGCAGAATTTGACATCTGCAACTGAAGTGGCATTTGGATGTATTTATACAGACTGTTTAATGCAGCTCAGAGATGGCATGAATGCATTTACACTGCAGTTACAGCTGCATAAATAATACTAAGGGATTGACATTCATTTAGCCAGTTTGATCAAACAACCGATAGATTCAACATTGAATAATGCACTCAAATGATTCTTTTTAAAAATATGGATTAATTCAGTTACAAAACACTGCGTACAACGGTTCTAATGTGGCTTTTTTGGGAACTGTATTTATTGGCGAAATAAAGCAAAAACAGACAATATTGTGTTTGAAATATGGTTGCAAAGGGGTGGTACATTTCTAAAAACTTACCAAAAAGTTTACGAAAGTTAAAAAAAATTATGGAAATTTACTGGAAGTTTCCCCCCTCTTTACAACTCTAGTCTGAAACTCACTTAATATCAGGGTTTGTACAAGGTACTTAAAGTTTGTTTGGGTTTCATTTGGGAACACGTATAAAGTCTGACGCGCTTTGTGTTGTGTCACTGTTATCATTTACAAGCGTGGAGCACATCTCCATCTCAGCTGCTCGGTCCACAAACTCTTCCTCTGCATATGCTGTGAGTTTGGGTTGCTTAAGGTTCATCTGAGAAAACTGTGTGCCAACACAGGAGAATACATCAACTAATTTCTAAATAAAGATTTGTTGTATATCGCAATTTCAAAATAAAAGTTTAAACCCTCGCTCTGAGTTTGCATGTGGCCAAATATTAAAACTAAATGGATTTAAAAGTCATTGAATCACGCAGTAAAGTGAAGCATTGCCAGGCCATTGGTGCCCTCTGCAGGTATTTGTTATAATACATAATGTACTTAAGTTGGTTATGTTCATTTTTTGTGTATTACATTATGAAGGCCTATTTTAACAGTGTTGTTCAATAAAACCATGTAATTACTTGGTTTTGATACTTTACTTGAACCAATTATTATTGCCGCATCGTTAATTTATATCAATAGTCATACTAAAACCTGTTTTTCAGTTAGGTCTATTTGTATTACTAAAAAATATCAGATTACTCAATTGTCAAAATAATCAGTAGATTACTTGATTGCCAAAATAATCAAAAGTGACAGCCCTAGATTAGTTAAAATATTTAAAAAAAAAAACAGCTGCATTGTTTTTATTTGTGATTTAAAAGACAAATATTTTGTCATTAGACATCCTGGTTCTGCATCTGGAGAGGGGTAAAGATTACTTCATCTCCATCACAGGCAACTACCTGCCCAGCTGCTTCGGCTCGTCTCTCAGTACCCTGTGCCTGCTGAGAGAACCCATCCAGGACATGCCCCTGGAGACCATCAGAGAGCTGGTGAGATCCTGCCATTACAGACTTTGTGATTTTTATAAGAGCACTGCCATTTGTGACAGATTCACAGACAGTTATATTTTTGAACCATGCTTATAGATGTTTTAAAACCTTCCTACTGCCTAAAAAGACAGCTACTTTCTGAGTCAGCATCCTAAAGTGACTGCACTCCTCACATGATGCACATGGGAGACTTTACTCATGACTGATTACAATATATCGTGACATTAGCATGTTGCTACTTCATTAAGCAGATATGACATAAGACTCAAATATTTGTAAAAATAATTTTGAATTACATTTTTGTTGATATTTAGTAGTCCATTACCGTTTAAAAGTTTGTGGTCAGTTAAGATGTTTTTAAGTCTCTTCTTCTCACCAAGGCTGCATTTATGCTGCATTTATTTGATCCAAAAAATACAGGAAGAACAGTAATATTGTGAAATATTAAGATAACTGTTTTCTATGTGAATATATTTTTACATTTATTTAAAATAGAATTTCTTTACTGTCACTTTTGTTCAATTTAAATCATCTTTATTGAATAAAAGTATTAATTTCTTGAAAAAAAAAAAATCTTTCGCACTACTCAAAATCTTGGTGAATGAATTGATTTTTCCCGGCAGTTGCTGTCATGCATTATGGGTTGTCTTCTCTGTGAAGGATACTTGTATTTAATAAATATTCTATATATCAAAACTTGGTTACAAGCTGTAATTATCTGATAATGATTAACCTGCCTCATAATTTTCATTTGTTACATCAGAGTATGAAGTCGAATAGCCAAGTGAGTAACCCAGAGACTGATAAACCTCAAGAAATCCCCAAGGAAATATGGATGATGGTGGACCATCTCTTCCGTTATGCAAAAAAACAGGTCAGGATTGCCCTTTTCTCATGTATTATTGTGTTTTAAGCTTGCTTAAACTTTTCTCTTTCCGTCTTAAAACTGTGCTTTTGTAATTTTGTGCTGCTAAAAGCTGTTTGTCTTTTTTATGGTGGAGCCATTGAGCTGCTCTCTATAGCAACACCAGCACTAAAGCAGGAATCTGTGGAGGAAATTCACTACCCGTTGCCTTAGCATTTGTTTCAGTAAACCGAAACAAGAAATTAAAGCTTCCCCAAACCATTCTTTGCTGTTCAGAGATGACTGACTAAATCTACTACACAATTACACATGTGATTCATCAACTGATTGCAAAGGAAACATTGAAGCACAATGCCTGGAGTTCATCCAAGAACTGTGAAAGCACCCATAGTGAAATAGTTGACAATGTCTGTATTACAGGAAGAGCTATTTCAACAGCCCGGCCTACGCAGCGAGTTTGAGGAGATTCGGGATTGTTTGGACACGGGCAGCTTAGACACTCTCCGTATCCTTTCACATGGTCACTGTATGATTCATGTCTGTGGTGTGAACTGACTCAGCGTGCGTCCAGAGTTTGCATTAACTAGAAGCTTTTTGCATTTTTGATATGCATTGCCCAGGCTAAAACAGACCAGGAGAAAGACTTGGTAAGTGAAGGTTTGAAAAAAAAAAACAAGATATTCCAAGCGTAGCCTAATGGAATAATTCATGGCATATTGTATGGGCTTGGCACTCTTTTTTTTTGGTCCTTTTTCTCTTATCAAATCCTTTAGTAATCATCATATATCATTTGAAAGCTTAGAAGCCCAAGATTCATCCTGTGAAAACCGTTTTGAAATCGGACATTGCGGTGCCATGGAAATGGTACTTTTAAAATCTTTTGGTGGTCTCTTGTATGTTCTCTTTTTCACATTGCAGGACCAGAATAAAAATAAAAACCAAGAATATAACAGAAGACTAAAAGAGTTCTCGCTTTGTTTTTGTGATAGCAAAAACGTAATAAAAAATAATAATGAAAAGTAAAATATAAAAGCTGTTGTAAACTTTTAAAATCAAATGTTTTTGTGACCAAATTATAAAAAAAAAGAATACTCTCGATTTTGCTAATGTATGTCATTTGCACGTCATTTTAGGTTGTTTTTATGTTTTTAACCTATTTTTATGTTATTGACAATTTTTTGTTCAGGTCTTTATAGACCAATTGATAATGGCTCAAATTGGAACATAAATTATTGCATTTTTTAATGTAATGTAAAAATGACACGTCATAGCTGGGTTTCTAGCTGATTCACTTAACTGTAAAATGAATTATAATTTCTCAATAATAAAATCTATGTAGATAAACGAACTATATAAAATAATGTACATGGAAAGCATACAATGGCAGCCAGAAGCTTGGGATGATTAAGATTTTTCAATGTTTTTGAAAGAGGTCTCTTATGCTCACAGAGACTCAAATGTTTAGTAAAAGTATAATTTTATTGATATTTAGTAGGATTGAATAAATTCCACTAGCATTCAAAAGTTTGGGGTCAAGCTGAAGTCCTTTTTTTCCCCTCCTGGTGGAATGACCTGCCCAACTCAATCCCAGCAGCTGAGTCCTTAGCCATCTTCAAGAAACGACTAAAAACACATCTCTTCCATCTTTATTTTGACCCTCTAACTCTAGCACTTTCTATTCTATGGAAACCCACTTCCTCCACTGAATAAAAAATATAAAAAAAGGCGACTTTTTATTTCTCAGAATTGCGTGACATAAACTCACAATTGCGAGTTATAGATTTTTATAGTTTATAAAAGTTTATAGTTCTGACTTTTTTCTCCGAATTGCGAGTTTATATCACGCAATTCTGAGAAGAAAAGTCAGATTTGTGAGATAAAAAGTCGCAATTACCGGTTTTTTTTTTTATTCAGTGGCGGAAACAGGCTTCCATACTATTCTAATTCTATTCTTAAAAAAAAAAAAACTTGCCTCTTTTAGACTTGCACTCTATTTATTTAGTAACTGCTTGTTTTTCTTAAAAAAAAACACTTGCTTCTCTAATTTTTTTATTCTATTTGTTTTCTTTTTATTTATTATACAATTAACAAAAAGCAAAAAAGGCCTCTAACACTAGCTTGCTCTATTCTTTTTTTATTCTATCTGTTTTCTTTTTATATATTATATAATTTTAAAAAACTTGCTACATGTACTGCGTTAAGCTAACTGAGACTTGTTATATAACTTGCATATCATTGCTCTTTTGTTGATTTTGATTGCTTCTGTTGTCCTCATTTGTAAGTCGCTATTTATTATACAATTAACAAAAAGCAAAAAAGGCCTCTAACACTAGCTTGCTCTATTCTTTTTTTATTCTATCTGTTTTCTTTTTATATATTATATAATTTTAAAAAACTTGCTACATGTACTGCGTTAAGCTAACTGAGACTTGTTATATAACTTGCATATCATTGCTCTTTTGTTGATTTTGATTGCTTCTGTTGTCCTCATTTGTAAGTCGCTTTGGATAAAAGCGTCTGCTAAATGACTAAATGTAAATGTAAGTCTTGTCTACTCACCAAAGTTGCGTTTATCTAATCAAAAATATAGTAAGAACAGTAATATTGTGATTTTTTAAAAATAACTGTTTTCTGCTTTAATATATACAGTATATTTAAAATGTAATTTATTTCTGTGATCATCATGACTCCAGTCTTCAGTGTCGCATGATCCTTCAGAAATCATTCTAATATGCTGATTTGAAAAGCTTTATGTGTAGACCCATGTGTCTCTATCCTACTTGACTGTTGAGTGCCCTTGACCTGAAGCACCTTTAGCTGGCAGTAACCACTCTGTGGCTGAAGCCCTGCTCCTGTTCCTCGATGCCCTTCCTGAACCAGTGATTCCCTTCTCCTTCTACCCACAGTGCTTAGACTCCTGCTCAGACAGCAGCCAGTGTAGACAGGTTTGTGTCTTCAGTATGCCTCTTTCAGTGTAGTGTCCATTTCTGCTAGTGCTGTGTTTGTATGTTCTGTCACGGTCAAATAAATAAATGAATGACACGTTTCCTTTCTCTTTCTGTCCACAGATCATTTCTGTGCTACCTCAGTGCCATAAAAATGTTTTTAACTATTTGACGGCCTTTCTTCAGGAGCTCTTGAAGCACTCTGCACACAACCGGCTGGATGTCAATATTTTAGGTAGGTTGACAATGCACTTTCACTACTTGTTTTTGTGTATTTTTGTCTGCAGATTTGGAGAGCACAGGCCAGTTTCAATGGAAAGCAGAACTCGAAAATGTATTCTACACAAGACACGTTCGATACTTCTGTATCATCGAGTATCATCCTACTGCTAAAATGTAGTGGTCGACCGATATATCGGCCGATATTTGGCATTTTTAAAATATCGGCATCGGCCGATAAGTTTTCCTGTTTGGCCGATGCGTTCAAGGCGGGACTTTTATTTTGACGGCGCTCACATTCTCCCTCTGGTTGGCTGTTTTCATTAACAGTTCTTTCTAAATACGGATAGAAGTCTGTCTAATAATCAGATAGAACGTTTAAACAAAGGAATTAAAATGTATACAAAAAGTCTTATAACGATTGCTTTTATATTATTAGTAATAGAAAGGCAAACATTATAATACTTTCTTGTTTGCCGTCAGCATATAGCAAATACGCATTTATATCATTTAAACAAATCTTTGACTTTCTAATAAACATCTAATTTCAAAAGCCTTGCAAACTTAGTCGGATCCAGTTGTGAGATCTTGTGAAGTGTGTTCTCTGCGTGACATTCGGTCCGTGGGAATTGAATGCGGACAGGAGGAGAGTTCAGCTTCACTGGAGACGCACGATCGACAAACTTTAAACTCGTGATTTCAAATTATGCTGCGCTTTATGCATTTGCCCACTGCCATATTCATGTCATTTTCACTGTGTGCTGTATGTAAAATGAGTGTTACCTTGGCTTTATTTGAAAAATATGATTCCCAATGCACACAAATTTCCCAGATTACTTAGTGCCCTGTTGGTTACAGTGTTTACTTCCTTTTTAATTATATTTTATTAAATATTTATTTATTTGTGAAAAATATTTTGTCATCTAAAGTATAAGTATGTTTATTTAACACGTTTATTTTTTAATACATTTTCAAATGATTTCAAGTTTCTTAAATATTAAATACAATTATATCGGCCACCCTGCTTTCCAAGATATCGGCATAAAAACAGATTAGTTGCATAATCAAGAAGTCTAGTCATGCACTTGGTTTAGAAATGAAAGAATGTCTAAAGTTTTGGTTTCTGTTTCCATGTTGTTTACAGTCATGGAAAACCTGGAAACATCAGGGAGTTTGATGTGGATGTGACTTTGGCTTTTTTACTGACTCGTTTGTCCCTTGTTTACAGCCCCGATCTTTGCTGGCCTTTTGCTCAGGTCCCCCACAAAGCAAGATCTCACAGAGAAAAGAAAGGTGAAGGAGTTTTTCCAGCATTTCTTGGTCCAGACGCCCTCTGACAGAGACATTCACGATAAATTACCTGAATAATGTACGGCATCGTGTTGCCTTTATTATTTCACATGCCTAGTTTTTCCAGGTATCAGCAGAATTATGTCGATAAACTTTGTAGTTGCCATTTAATTCAAAGCATTTTAAACCGATATTGAAGCTTTTTTTGTTTTATTGCGAAACAAACGGGAGTTTTTAGTTGAAAAATAATGGTTATTTAATTAATTAAATATATTTGTATTTTGATGTTTGTAAATAAAAAACAGTTGTTCTTTTATATTAAATCTCAACAATTACAACAGTCTCAGTGTTAGCCTTTTTCTTTTGTTTTCTTCAAAAGAATTGCTCATTATTTAGATGCAAAATAAAGGAAAGAATTTAATTTAAATGTTGTAGTATTATATAGTATAATAGCCACTATATATTTGTCTTTTTATTTTCATGCTCATTTTCAAGATTTCTTACCATTTTAAAGATAATTTACACACAGAAAATGTAAATACGTTGGTAAAAGGTGTATTTCAAAGTGTTCGTTCATTACTACAATATTGAGCATTTGTTTTGCTCAACATACATCATTTGTAATATAGAAAAAGAAAATGCTAGAAGCATAATCTCAGACTTGGTTGTTAGTCACTATTTAAATAAATACGGTCACACTTTACAATTGGGTCTAGTTAGTTGAACTGTCACCGTCCCACCTGTGGGACGCTTGGCACTCTTTTTTTTTTTTGGTGCTTTTTCTCTTATCAAATCCTTTAGTAATCATCATATATCATTTGAAAGCTTAGAAGCCCAAGATTCATCCTGTGAAAACCATTTTGAAATCGGACATTGTGTTACCATGGAAATGGTACTTTAAAATATTTTGGTGGTCTCCTCCCCCTTAGTGGGCGGTGTCAAGTGTCATATTACAAAATGCATTACGCTCTTTTACAATCAAAACTTTTATAATCTTGACAAAGAACATATCATTGGAAAGGTCTGAGTCTCAGGATTCCATATTTAGTGGTTATTTTGTGATAGAAGCAATATTGACAGAGAAATGTCAACATATGTTACAGAAAAATGCATTTTAAAAAATTGAATGGAGTTTTGATAGCACCCAGTGGCTGTTTGTGGTATAACGCCCTAAATGAAATCTACAATTTTTTCATATCAACTTCAAATTTGGAACATAACTTATTTAGACATAAGGCTTTCATTTTATACCAATTTTAGAATAAAACCTGTTATGTAACATATGTATTATATATAAAATAAAATTAATATAGTGCATTTGCTTTACAGTAAATTTAAACTAGCATAACATTTTGATACTTTAATTCTTTTTAAAAATGTTCTTCTTTACAAAGAGACCAACCTTATGTCTGTATTCCAAAGTGTTCATAAATTACAACAATTTAAGTTTGGGTAGTGCATCTGCATGCCTATTTAAAAAAAATGGGGTTTTAATTAACAATGAGCAACACAAAAAAAAACTAATAAATAAAAAAAAAAACAATGAGCAATACATTTGTTACCATATTTATTAATCTTTGTTAATGTTAGTTGCTCACTGTTAGTTCATGTTAGCTCAGGTTCATTGAATATTAAAACAATTTTTGATTTTAATAATGAATGAGGTAAGATGCGCGTCTGTCAGTGGTGTGAAGCTGATATGAAGTGAACGGATCTGGAGTCTGCGCGCGCTCAGCTGCTGTTCATGATGGTGCCGCTGGGGAGGAAAGCAGACAGGACCCGATACACAACATTACAGAGGCCTCGAGCGTCTTTATAGCGCTGGTAAATACATGAAGTGGTTGTAATCTGCTTTATTCGGGGGTGTAAGCGCGTGTCGGTGTCGTTCAGGTGTTTTAATGGCTTGTCTCGGTTTCATTCGATTTTCTGCTCAATGCTAAATCTGTTAGCATACATCCACCCTACATGCTTTAACTTTCACATATTTAGCGTGTTCAGAATATTTTACATTTTAACCGGTTAAAACGTCCAATTAACTGCGCTTGTGTCTAACGACATGATGTATAAACTAGTGTTAAAGGCGTGCTAACGAAGCTAACGCCTGTCATTGATGTGAATGGAGACTGCTAGCACATTAGCCTGTCTCTGAATTCTTAATCAAATGCGACCGCTTTTAGTGATTATATGAAATATGGGGTGCTTGATTATTTCAGTCCTTTTGTCTTCGGGATATTATTAATGTTGACCGGACAGAAGCAGATGAACTAATGACTGGAGCTTCGAAACACAGGTGAGCTAACAGCTAGCAGTACTGACATGCCCGTTTGTTTTTATAAAACATATTTCCAGTTTAAGCGGAATATGACACGTTTATGACTGCACGACATGAAAGACTGCATGTTTTTAATGTCTCTAATGTATTCGAGGCTTTCTGTGTGTGTGCTCGAATTGATAAATGTGACTGTTTTGACTTGTGGTTGTCATCAATGGCGAAGTGAACATGGAAACTTCTAGAAAGTGTCCAGATTGACAGAAGCCTTACCTGCTTTAAGGCTCATTGTGTATTATTATTATTATTATTAGGGTTTTGTTCTCACAGTATGTTCATCATTTTGAGACATAATGTCCCCTTTGTAACTGTGTAGTAGTATGAGAAAGGCATTCATAGTGTACACTGTCTGCCTTTACATGCCGCCTCAGTCAGCTGCCTTCCTAGTCAGCGTTTTTGGGCATACTAACCTAGTCAGCTGCCTTCCTAGACAGCGTTTTTGGGCATACTAACCTAGTCAGCTGCCTTCCTAGACAGCGTTTTTGGGCATACTAACCTAGTCACAGTGTTTTTGGGCATACTAACCTAGTCACAGTGTTTTTGGGCATACTAACCTAGTCACAGTGTTTTTGGGCATACTAACCTAGTCACAGTGTTTTTGGGCATACTAACCTAGTCACAGTGTTTTTGGGCATACTAACCTAGTCAGCTGCCTTCCTAGACAGCGTTTTTGGGCATACTAACCTAGTCAGCTGCCTTCCTAGACAGCGTTTTTGGGCATACTAACCTAGTCAGCTGCCTTCCTAGACAGCGTTTTTGGGCATACTAACCTAGTCAGCTGCCTTCCTAGACAGCGTTTTTGGGCATACTAACCTAGTCAGCTGCCTTCCTAGACAGCGTTTTTGGGCATACTAACCTAGTCAGCTGCCTTCCTAGACAGCGTTTTTGGGCATACTAACCTAGTCAGCTGCCTTCCTAGACAGCGTTTTTGGGCATACTAACCTAGTCAGCTGCCTTCCTAGACAGCGTTTTTGGGCATACTAACCTAGTCACAGTGTTTTTGGGCATACTAACCTAGTCACAGTGTTTTTGGGCATACTAACCTAGTCACAGTGTTTTTGGGCATACTAACCTAGTCACAGTGTTTTTGGGCATACTAACCTAGTCACAGTGTTTTTGGGCATACTAACCTAGTCACAGTGTTTTTGGGCATACTAACCTAGTCACAGTGTTTTTGGGCATACTAACCTAGTCAACTGTCTTCCTAGACAGCGTTTTTGGGCATACTAACCTAGTCAGCTGCCTTCCTAGACAGCGTTTTTGGGCATACTAACCTAGTCAGCTTTCTTCCTAGACAGCGTTTTTGGGCATACTAACCTAGTCACAGCGTTTTTGGGCATACTAACCTAGTCAGCTGCCTTCCTAGACAGCGTTTTTGGGCATACTAACCTAGTCAGCGTTTTTGGGCATACTAACCTAGTCAGCTGCCTTCCTAGACAGCGTTTTTGGGCATACTAACCTAGTCAGCTGCCTTCCTAGACAGCGTTTTTGGGCATACTAACCTAGTCAGCTGTCTTCCTAGATAACATCATAATCTTAAACATTTTATTGATATTTTCAGGCATCAAAGGTGTCGACTCAGAACATGATGTCCAAAGTGCGGTCTGTCTAGTCAGCTTGCTAGGTTTTGCGACACAGCCGGTGTGTCTGGGTCATTTTTGTTTTAGGTTGACCATAGTGTGTGTCTTGGTTAGAGTTTCGTGCCTACAGTGGTTTCAGTTTGCAAAGGCACCTTTACCCTGGTTGTTTTGTAGTTACTCTAACACCGGCCAAAAATAGTTTCCCTGCATTGTCCCAGTTTCTCGTGACAGTACGAGACATGGTGCTGTTTTCCCAACACATTACGTGTTTGTTATTTATATTAGAATACCTCTTATTACAACAATACTGTAAAACGGATATGTTGATTATGTACTTTTCATTGTAATTATACTGATTTATGTAAATGTACCTAAACTTACAATTTAGCATTTTTTAAAATGTTTTATTGATAATGCGCACATTACACTGTAATAGACTTTGACTTATTTCCTTATTGTTCCTCATTTAATCATTATAATAACCTGCGGTTGTTATAACGATTCAGCGAGGAATGGTGTTATTTTAGTATTAATTATGTACTATCATAGCATTTATTAATTTTGATATAACTATATATTTTCAGTTTTACATTTTAGTAGCTTTTTTCACTTTTTATTTCTATTTCATTTTAATTTCTTTTTATAAAATTTTTAGTTTTACAAATTTTAGTACTTGCATAACATAACTCATTTAAGTTAGTTGCCAAGGCAAAGTTTTTCATCTGATGTTTATATAATTTTATTTTAACTTAAGTTCATTTACCATAAATAATTTGTAATATATTTTTTAAGTTTTTTATCTGATATTTATCTTCTTTTATTTCAGCTTTATATTTGTTGTTGTTTTCATTTGTTTTTCATCTTATATTTGTATCTTATTTCAACTTTATTTCATTTACTGAATTTTTTTATTTATTTATTTCATCTTTAATTACCCAAAAAAACAAAACAATTTAGTCTATGATTGAGGCCTATAAATCCTGTTTTCCATTTGATTGCTTGGCGTTGTGTTCTATGAATATTGTTTTAAACCTCTTTGAATGTATTCCAGCCGCAACAAAAGCAAGCACGTGGACACGAACCCAGGAGTGAGCTCGTCCATCAGGATCATGGGAGAGAATGGCCCTCTCACGGAGACAGCCATGTTCTTTGAGGACGAGGAAGAGGATGTTGACAAACTGGGCCGAGAGGAGGAAGATGAGGACAAGATGGCCAACTATGACAAAGACGACGGCATAATCTCGGGACCATCGTCCTCCTCGGGAAGGGTCTACGATCGCACCACCGTGCTCATCGAGCAAGACCCCATCCGCCTGGACGAGGAGGGCGAGGAGGAC